GTTTGGGTATCACGGTAACTGTAGCCTCATAGAGAGTTTCGCAGTGTTCCTTCTCTTTCTATTGTGTGGAGCAATTTGAGGACTATTGATATTAGCTCTGCTTTGAAATTCTGGTAGAATTCTGCACTGAAACCATCTGGTCCTGGGCTTTTTTTGTTTGGGAGACTTTTTATGACTGTTTCTATTCCCTTAGGGGTTATTGGTATATTTTAATAGTTTATCTGGTCTTGATTTAACTTAGATATGTGGTACTCATCCAGAAAATTATCTATTTCTTTTAGATTTTCCAGTTTTGTGGAGTAGAGGTTTTTGAAGTATGACCTGATGATTTTCTGGATTTCCTCATTGTTAGTTGTTATGTCTCCCTTTTCATTTCTGATTTTGCTAATTTGAATACGCTCTCTCTGCATTTTGGTTAATTTGGATAAGGGCTTGTCTATGTTGTTGATTTTCTCAAAGAACCAACTTTTTGTGTCATTGATTCTTTGTATTATTCTCTTTGTTTCTATTTTATTGATTTCAACTTTCAATTTGATTATTTCCTGGTGTCTATTCCTTCTGGGTGACTCTGCTTCTTCTTGTTCTAGAGCTTTCAGGTGTGCTGTTAAGTCACTAGTGTGAGATTTCTCCAACTTCTTTATGTGGGCATTTAGTGCTATGAATTTCCTCTTAGATTTGCTTTCATAGCATCCCCTAAGTTTGGGTATGTGGTGTCTTCATTTTCATTGATCTCTAGGAAGTATTTACTTTCTTTCTTCCTTGACCCATTGGTCATTCAGCTGATCATTATTGAGTTTCCTTGAGATTGTAGGCTTTCTGTAATTTTTGTTGTTGTTGAAATCTAACTTTAAACCATGGTGTTCTGATAGAACACAGGAGGTTATTCCAATTTTTTTAAATCTGTTGAGATTTGTTTTGTGGCTGAGTATGTGGTCGATTTTAGAGACGGTTCCATGGGGTGCTGAGAAGAAGGTATAGTCTTTTTCATTAGGATGGAATGTTCTGTAGATATCAGTTAAGTCCATTTGAGTCATAACATCAGTTAAGTCCCTTATTTCTCTGTTAAGTTTTGATTTAGCAGATCTTTCCTGTGGTGAGAGTGGGGTGTTGAAATCTCCCACTATTAATGTGTGGGATTTTATGTGTGATTTAAACTTCAGTAATGTTTCTTTTACATATGTGGGTGCCCTTGTGTTTGGGGCATAAATGTTCAGAATTGAAACTTCATCTTGGTGGATCTTTCCTGTGATGAGTATGTAATGTGTTTCTTGATCTCTTTTGATTGATTTTAGTTTGAAGTCTATTTTGCTGGATATTAGGATGGCTACACCTGCTTGCTTCTTAAGACCATTTGATTGGAAAGACTTTTCCCAGCCTTTTATTCTGAGGTAGTGTCTATATTTGAAATTGAAGTGTGGGCCGGTTGGTGGTGGTGCGCACCTTTAATCCCAGCACTAGGGAGGCAGTGCCAGGCTGATCTCTGTGAGTTCAAGGCCAGCTTGGGCTACAAAGTGAGTTCCAGGAAAGGTGCAAAGCTACACAGAGAAATTGAAGTGTGTTTCTTGTATGCAGCAGAAAGATGGGTCCTGCTTTCATATCCATTCTGTTAACCTGTGTCTTTTTATAGATGGATTAATTCCATTGATATTAAGGGATATTAATGACCAGTGATTTTCAGTTCCTGTTATCTTTTGTTGGTAGTGTGTGTGTACTTCTCTTCTTTGGGGTTTACTGTTGTGAGGTTATCTATTGCCTGTGTTTTCATGGGTGTATCTTACTTCCTTAGGTTGGAATTTTCTTTCTAGTGCTTTCTCTAGGGCTAGATTTGTGGATAGGTGTTGTTTAAATCTGGTTTTGTCTTGGAATGTCTTGTTCACTCCGTCTATGATGATTGAAAGTTTTGCTGAGTATATTAGTCTAGTCTGGCATCCATGGTCTCTTAGTGTCTGCATTACATCCGTCCAGGTCCTGCTGTCTTTCCAAGTCTCCATTGAGAAATCGGGTGTTATTCTGATGGGTTTGTCTTCATAAATCACTTGTCCTTTTTCCTTTGCTGCTCTTAATATGTTTTCTTTATTCTGTATGTTTAGTTGTTTAAATATTATGTGGCAAGGAGACTTTTTTGGGGGGGTCTAGTCTGTTTGGTGTTCTGTAGGATTCTTGTGTCTTCATAGGTATTTCCTTCTTTACGTTGGGAAAGTTTTCTTCTATGATCTTGTTGAATATATTTTTTGTGCCTTTGAGTTGGTATTTTTCTCCTTCCTCTATCCCTATTATTCTTAGGTTTGGTCTTTTCATGGTGTCCCAGATTTCTTGGACATTTTGTGTTATGACTTTTTTGGCTTTGGTATTGTCTTTAACCGACAAATCTATTTCCTCTATTGTATCCTCTACACCAGAGATTCTCTCTTCCATCTCTTGTATTCTGTTGGTTATGCTTGCATCTGTGTTTCCTGTTCATTTACTCAGATTATCTATTTCCATCATTCTCTCTGTTTGTGTCTTCTTCACTGTTTCTATTTCCCTTTTCAGGTCTTGAACTGTTTCCCTCACCTGTTCAATTGCTTTTTCATGATTTTCTTTAAGGGATTTATTGATTTCTTCCAATTTTTTTAATTTGTCTTTTCCTTTATTTCTTTATAGATTTCTTCCATTTTTTGTTTGTCTTTTTCTCAATTTCTTTATTGATTCCTTCCACTTTTTTTGTTTGTCTTTTTCTCAATTTCATTTTTTCTTGAAAGGCCTCTAGCATCTTCATGATGCTATTCTTTTTTTTTTTTTTTTTTTTTTTGGTTTTCGAGACAGGTTTTCTCTGTGTAGCTTTGAGCCTTTCCTGGAACTCACTTGGTAGCCCATGCTGGCCTTGAACTCACAGAGATCTGCCTGGCTCTGCCTCCCTAGTGCTGGGATTAAAGGCGTGCGCCACCACCACCTGGCCATGATGCTATTCTTAAGGTCGCTTTCTTCTGCTTCTTCTACCTTGTGATGTTCAGGTCTTGCTGTTGAAGGAGGGCTAGGTTCTGGTGATGCTGTTTTGCTCTTTATGTTGTTGTGTGTACTTCTGCCTTTAAGTCTGCTCATCTCCTCCTTTAATGGATATAAGAGGTGCCTGTGTCTGAGCGAGTTGCTGTTGGTCTACTCTGTGCTTGTGTCTGTGTCTCAGGGGGCTCATCTGGGTCCTATCTTAGCTCTTGGTCTAATTGGAGCAGTCAGATTCTGTGTCTCAGCGAGCTTCTCTTGGGTCAACCTAAGCTAGATGATTCTGTGACTTACTGGTCTGCTCTTGGTCTTATCAGGGTTCTTGGTCCAGTCAGAGTTGACAGATTCTGTGTTTCAGGAAGCCTCTCGTGGTCCAATGAGAGGTGGCAGATTCTACTTCTCAGAAAGCCACTCTTAGTCTAATTAGGGCTGGCAGATTCCCTGTCTCCTGAGGTTACTCTTGGTCCAATGACAGCTCTTTGTCCAATGAGAGCTCTCTCTAGTCCCCATGAGAGCTGGTGCTTTGTTTCCAAGCCTCAGGACGCGGCTGGGGTCTCAGGCAGATGGGTATGGGGTCCCTTCATAGTTCTTAAATGGACAATTTTCAGCTTCATATGGAAGCACAAAATCCAGGATAGCTAAAACAAACCTGAGTAATAAAAGAACCATGTGACGTTGCACTAAAAACTTGGACACACATAAGCGTCTACATTCACCCCTGAGTTTTCAACAGGAATTTTCTGTGTTTTCCATAAAAGCACCTTCAGTATGCTTCCTGGAAAACAAACTTGTTTCTAATTTAGTATAACCACAACATCAACATCTTACAGCACAGGATGGATTCAAAACTAGGCTATTAGCAATGGGCTGACTGACCACTGAATTTCGGAGACACCTATTTCCTTTCAAAATCCTGAGTTTCTGAAATGTCTTTCCTGAAGGGAATATTGCTAATAGTGCATTTCCAGACATTTGACAGGTAATAGTGAAGTTCTGTGAGGGAAGGCTAAAGAGGCTTTTTAGTGTTACTTCATTTGCAGAGTGATGGAAATGATTATTCAGCTTTCCAGTAAAGCTCTCCAGAGTGAGATACTGCCTCAAAAATTTAGACTATTTCAAATAAGTGTAGAACAGAACATACAGCTGGAACTTCGCTTTTACCTTTAACTAGAGCTACTGGCACTATTTTGCACTAGCTACTTGCACTAGTTACTTGACTGAGGCACCCAGCTGCTCCACCTTGTCTTCTGTTCCTTACCTGATTGATCTCTGAGTTATGAAGCTTATTGCATTTTTCACTTCTTGTTTCATTTCAGTTTGGGTTTTCCCCGGTGTTTCTAACTACGTATTGAATTCACTTTTCATATCCTACGGTGTCTTCACATCCTTCAGGCATTTGCTAGTGTTCTCTTGCCCACGAATCATTTTGTTCCTATTTTTGAGTTGCTTAACATGATTTACATGTTTTGATCATCTTGAACATGACTCTGCGTTTTGACTTCTGTGTATTGGATATCGTTTAACATTCTCTCCTTAGGGGATACAGATATAGTTTGTGCTTTGAGCCAAGGGCGTTTTATCTTAGCTTTAATTTGTTTGGGGAATGAGACTTGAGCATCAGAATTTAGGGTGTCGGTTGTCTTTTTTGTGTGTTTTAACCCAGGAGGCCGGTATCCCAAGATGAGAAGTTAGGCGAAATAACTTGTATCTGAAGGTTTCAAAACCCAGCGTTGGGGTCAGATACTGAGGCGGGGTGTGTGTGGCTGTGCAGAGCGGGTCCAGGGCAGCCTGACAGCTGGAGCTGTGTGGAAGGCGGCCTGAGACCGAGTGGGAGGGACGGGTCCCGGATGGGGAGGGGACACCTGCGTGATCAGAGTTGTGTAGGGGAAAAGTAACAGCGAGGCCGACTAGGTAAACTAAATAAGAAAAAGAATCGGCGGTAGGCTAGTTTAGAGGAAACGCGTAACCGGAAGCGGGAGTGTATTGGGCGGGGCCAGGAGGTGCGGCTCCAAGGAATGACGCTGAAGAACAGGAAATTCCACCATTCCCTGTTGGACTTGGGGAAGCTTCCTTTTCCGGAACTGGGTGAGGAAGACCCGGCGGGTATTAGGGGACCTGAAACTCCCCGGAGCCGCAGTCGCCGCGCCGGGGCGGCCTGGGAAAGTCACCAGTCAGCAGCGCAGTGGCGGGAACCGCAGCCCGGCGGCCCTGGAACCTCCCAGGTCAGAGGAGCTGCGGGGCTGGGACACGGGAGGGGAGGGACCGGGGGGTGCGAGCAGTTTCTCTGCTGTTCATAAGGAAGCCGGCTCCGAAATTCTGCTGTGGATGTCTTTCCGTTGTCGGTAAGTTTGAGATTCGATGAAGTGGGGTTTATCGTGATTTTTTTTCTTTGATCTTATGGTTGCCAGAATGTTTTCATGAAATAATCTCAGAGCATCTGCAATGCCTGTAGTATGCAAACGGGGTTCTCTTTGCTGCTGTAGCAGTTAGAAAGCTCGAGTTCAAATTCATCCATGCTTTCTTAACTCCTCTGGTCTACTACTTGCCTGTTCAAGAGTGGACTTTGCCCCTAGGACTACGCATCCCCAGAGAGCTTTGTAGATATTAGTCATATGAAGAACCTTTGTAGATTTGATTGAATCAGAAAATATACGTTATAAAGCACCACAGTTATGATTGTAAATATTAACATTTACTGAGCAAAGTTTTACTCCCTATTAATTTTTCACCTGAGATGTATGCACTCTGTAAGAAATGTCTTCATATGCTTAGTTGTTGATATTACACCTTAGGTCTGAATGATAAATGAGGACACGACTACTTTAAATGTGGTTGAGGAGGTTTATTGTAGGTATGAGGGAGAAAATAGCCAGAGGCATCTGGAAGGGCCCAGAATGAACTGGTCCATGAGAGGGGAGAGAAGAGGGGAGAGAGAAATGAAGAGAAGACGGGAGAGAGGTGGAGGCCAAGAGAGGAACCTGGAGCCTAGAGACCAAGAGAGCACCTGGCAAAAATGTCCGCTTGATATGTTAATGGGCAGTTCAGCCATTTGTCATGCGTTTTTTGATACCTAACAAGGTCCAGGCAAGCCCGGTATACATGCTATGAGAACATGTTACCAAGGCCACACTATTTTTATAGATAGAAACCTCATGGATTAAAATTAGAAAGCACCTTTTGAGTAATTATGATTACAATTCTACATCAGAAAAGTGCCTCCTTGGTTCAAGAAATGCAGTCTGCCCATGCGCATGTGTAAAAACTGTTGTTTTTCTTTTAGGGTTTGTTCCCATTCAGTGCTGTCACTGTGGGAGGAGTGGGAATGCCCAGACCCTGCTCTCAGGGCTTTTTGTGGACACCTCCTCTTTGAGAAGTGCAGCAGTCAGGACTCTGAGGGTCAGAGTAATTTTCTTGCAGTCTCCCTTGCTCATTCTCAGGGTTTTTGGACAGACCACTCTGCATGTGTGTGAGGTGTGTGTGAATGAAGTTTCACATCCCATAAAGTGAGATCCTCAGAGACAATGAGACATTTTTTTTGTGATATTTTCTCTCTTCCTGTTTATCCTTTGAAAGGTGTTTTCTTCTTTTGTTTTTGTTCCATGGAAAGTTCCAGGTGCTTTCTGAAGAATCCCTTTCCCATATGCAAGTCTCACATTGCTCAATAAGTCCTGCTCACCTGGGAATCAGAACAAAGAGCTCTGCATGGTGAAGAGAGAAGAGACAATATCAAAGGATCCAGGTATGCTAGATGGATTGAGGAAGGGGTGAGGTAGATGTCAAGTGACAGTTGATACAGGAAATTGGTTTTTGGCAGATTCTATTTCATTAATGATTATGGAAAATTTACTGAAAATAATCTTAGATGTGGTACTATGAATTTTCCATTGTTGACTATGTAGTAAGCAGCTATTTGTTCTCAGTTTTTGATCAGTTATGAGTCTCTGAAATATCTGTTACCCATTGAAACCAAAGTTTCTTTGACCCGGGCTGAAAGCAGCACCCTGGATATGGGAGTGGACTGAACCATTTAAAGGCAGGTTGAGTATTGTCCATGTAGCAAATATCAGTAATGACTCCCTGCCTAGGGTCTCTGACCTTCGTTATCATTGCTTTTCACCAGGTTCCCAGTCCATCCATGTATTTCCTTCTGTGGAGCTGGCCTCATATTGAACCAGAAAACCTTCTGGTACCTATAAAAGAATCTTGCCCCTATGACACCAGTGGGTATGCCTTGCCTGACAGATTGGGATTATTGCAATTGCATGCAGGATCCTAATATGGGTATGTCCATTGATACCGGGCCAAGGCTAAATAGCAGGGTTTTTTTTTGGTTTGTCGAGACAGGGTTTCTCTGTGTAGCTTTGCGCCTTTCCTGGAACTTGCTTTGGAGACCAGGCTGGCCTCAAACTCACAGAGATCCGCCTGCCTCTGCCTCCCGAGTGCTGGGATTAAAGGCGTGCGCCACCACCACCCGGCCTAAATAGCAGTTTTTAACAATATGAATGCTATGGCCAGGGAGTCCAAGATATCTGTAGACAGTGTGAGTGGTCTGATCTGAGCTTTCTCAAGACAGTCCACTTGCTTTCTGATGCTCCTATATTGTCCTCTAAATTTTTCTATCTTTCTTGAGTTGTGAACACACTGATGCATTGTGTTGAGTTAGTCTTGATTCATGTGGAATAATACCACTTGTTCTTCTTTTGTACTGTTTGGTTTAGCTTTGTGTCTCTTTATCTTTATTATGCTGAGGTATGTTCCTTCTGTTCTCACATCTTAAGAGCTTTTATACTGAGCAAATGTCATATTGTACTACAGGGCTTTCATGTATCTATTGATGTAGTCATTTATTTTCTCTTGCTGAGTCCACATATTTAGTGTTACATTGATTAGTTTGTAGGTATTGCATTCTTGGTGTCAACTCAGCTTTCCTTCTATTTCTTTGTTACTTAGAGAGATTGTCTGTGTCTGTTTCCTTCCTAGCAAGTAGTCTGTGATTTTCCTTTGTACATAATTGTTTGGGCTCATCTACTTTGGGTGTCAAGGTAAAGCCAGCTGTTTATCATGACTTTGTAGCATTCATTTTCTTTGTGTTTTATTTAACTATTCTCCTTTTGACATTAGTATAAGGTTTGTCTAGAAGAAAGGAGAATTTTGTGCTGAATCTGTCCAGTCTTCAGACAGTGTTAAAGGAAACTTGCTGCTCAGTTTCAGCTCTGCTTAATATGTGTTTTAGTTTTATTAAATAAAGGGGGTTGATTATTCACTTCTTTCTAGGAACTCATCATTTCTTCTTCAGTTCTGATTTACTTGTATATGACTTTCCACACCACTCCATAAGGTCACACTGGCATTAATGTCATACATTTCAGCTCCAGTTCTAATACTTAAGGATTCACTTTTTTAGCTTTGATTAGGTAAAACAAGTCTGGCATGTTGAACATCTTTCTACATACTATTTCAGATTGACTTGTTCTCTTGCTTGTAAGCCCCCAGACACATAATTATGGACAAATGTCTTTCATAACCAGTTCCTCTTGCTGCCAAACATTTCTCAATGTTTCTTTGTTACCCCACTTCTGTGTGATTGTCTTTCATGAGCTGGCACTCACCCTGAAACTCTAAGAAGGTTTCCTCCATGCTCCTTGAATTCTGTTTCACTATTCATTGGTTTAAGTCTCCACAGTAGCTAATTAGGGAACAATAAACCAAGTTCTAGAGAGGTGGCTCAACTGTTAAGGGTACTTGTCGCTCTTGCAGCTTCCATGTTCAGTTCCAGGAACCTTCCTTGATTCTTAACACCCTTCTGGAACTCAGGTTCCAGAGGATCTATTGCCCTCTTCTGGCTGCTGCAGGCTTTGCAAGCATGAGGTGCTCAGACCTACCTGTAGGCAAAGACACCCATCCAAATAATATAAATAAACCTTTTAAAAAAAAAAGAAAACATAAAAGATCTGGAAGTATTACATAAAGATTTAAAATAACAGTCTAGGGAAGAACTTGGGGGTGTCACTATTTGTGAGAGTGAATGTGGAGCCTGGATACGTGGTGGGATTGCTGACACCTCACATCAACAAGTTAGGAATGATCCCTATATATGATAAATAAGTAAAGTTGTTTGTGTTTATAGACAGAAGTTTTATCATATTGGTTATGACAGGAAAGTGCTGTCACCCAGCATTCCATCAACAGAGAAGTGTGCGATGGAAGGAAAGTGAATTGTATCAAACATCAGTTTTCTTATTCTAAGGTGTCACCACAGGCCCCAGATCTCAGTTCTTGTAGCTGATCAGTCTGTAGAAGGTCATGTTTCTACTCCAGATAGTTCATGATCACCAAACAGCATTTGCATCAGTAAAATAAATTGGATTAAGAACTGTGTGTTACAACAGTTCACACAACAAACTCTTCCATGCTGTTCATATGTGAAATGTGCTGAAACCAAACACATTGAGTGACATTCTCACTGCCACACTCCAGTGCTGTGGTTTGTATTTGGTCTTCTAAGGTCCTGAAGGTCATGCATGGTGCTCTCTGAGAAGAGTTGGCTGCACGTGGTGCTCTTCACTGGGGCTTTCGATGTTGCTGCATTTCACCTTCATCTCTACACTGTTGTCAAATTCTGTGTTGCCGCTGTCAGTTTCTCTGACCTTCTCTTGGAATCACCTTCAGAGAGGACATATCCTGTTTCTATTGCTGCTCATCAGGTACCCCCTTTTTGTTAGTTTAATGATAATGAATTTTCCATGTGCCCTCTGGTTTCTGCTGGGTAGGAATAGTGGAGATGTTGAGTGATGTCTCTTTCCTTCCTCAAAGTTGAGGATTTCTCTATTTTCTTATAGTGTAGCTTTCAGAGCTACATTTTGTTGTCTTTGTATTGCTTTTTTTTTTAAAGGCTATTTTATTTTGGTTTTTTGAGATAGTTTGTGTGTGTGTGTGTGTGTGTGTGTGTGGTAGTCTTAGCTGTCCTGGAATTCACTCTCTAGACTGGGCTGGCTTTGAACTCACTGGGATCTGCCTGCTTCTGCCTCCCACGTGCTGGGATTAAGGGTGTGCACCACTAGAGCCAGACTGTCTTTGTATTGCTTTAATGCTTGTTTTATGCTGTGAATTTCCTGACTTCATTTGCTTGTTATTATTCTTGCTTAATTCACTGAGTATCTTCTAAATTCCTCAAGGAATTCATAAATACCTGCATTTGGTTTCTAGAGAATTTTTTTAGTTCTTTTTATTTATTTTGATATTTGAATTTGAAAATTCTCTTAATTTTTGTTCACATTTGATCATTTAAGAAATTTGAGCCTCTTATTCGAAAATTACAGAAAAAAATAGAGTGATTTTGCTGAAATGGTGGAGACGAAACATAGAATGCCTCTGGAAGTTAAGAGGCGTTTGCTGTCCCATATTTAACCTAAAATTCTTGAATAAGAAATCATTGATATTCCCAGTACCTGTCAAGATATAAGATGATACAAGATGTAACTGTGACATATGTGTATGTAGTTATACAGGGGATCTATAATTAATGTAAACATAAAATCAGTTACCGACACATGCAGAATGAATGCTTATTTTGTGACACAGGACTAACATAAGATGTAACATACAGTTAATGTAGGACAAGACAATAGACACATGTCTCACATTTCTACTTCTTGTGGAAGTAAAAAGTTGATTTTCATGGAGGAAAATGGTAGCAGCTAGGGACTGAAGGACCTCAGAGTTGTCACACTGAGTATTTATTGTCAACTTGTGTGTATTAAGAATGGCCTTGGGCTAGGCAGCAGTGGTGCACATCTTTAATCCCAGCACTTGAAGGCAGAGCTAGGCGGATCTCTATGAGTTCGAGGGCAGTCTGGTCTAAAGAGCGAGATTGAGGACAGGCACCAAAACTACACAGAGAAACCCTGTCTTGAAAAAAACCAAAAAAAAAAAAAATAAATAAAGAACTACCTTGAGCTGGAGAGATGGCTCAGAGGTTAAAAGCTCTTATTGCTCTTGCAAACGACCAGGGTTCCATCTTAGCACCCACATCATGGTCCATAGCCATCCATAACACCAGTTTGTGGGGAATCTGATCCCCTCTTCTCACCTCCATGGACACCAACATGCAAATTGTGCATATACATACATGCAGACAGAACATTCCCAAATAAAATAAAATGAATAAATCTCATTTAAAAATTGTCTAAAAACTGCCTAGAAGAATAGTAAGGCACACTTCTGTCTGTGTCTGGGAAGGTCTTTCCACATAGGATAGGACTTTGAAGATCTTAGCCTGATCAGTGAATAATCTTTACATTAGCTCATAATGAGATTGGGTTGTTGGAAGCTAGTAGCAAAAGCAGGAAGTTGGCTTCTTTTAGAGAGAATATAATTTACCGGGGCAAGCTTGGAAGGATCCACCTTATCCCTGCACCTTCCTGAACATGGTCTTCTTCCTGGCAGCCACCAACTGCGTTCTATCATTTCTCCAATTTGATGATTCTGTGTTAATGTTGCTTAGAGCAATTTAACACTCACATTAGATTTTAAATAGATTTTATGAGCTGAATTGTAATATTCTACCTTTTAAGTAGGTTCAGGTGGGTTTCAAGGGATCAATATTCTCACACAAAGTTGTTCATCCTGCTAAAGTAGAAACCAGTCCATTTCTAAGGAGTGCTAAGTTGGAAAGATAATCTTTTTGTCAGTGACTATTGTATAGTAGACGATGATGAGAATGGCTGTAACTGCATCTGA